CTGCCAGATCTGGCCGTCGACGCCGCAGATGGAGTTTTGCGGCGTTGACGGCCAGATCTAGCCGTAGATCTGGCCTTTTCCGGCCAGATCAGCCACGGATCTGGCCGAAAAAGGCCAGATCGACGCGTTACGACACAGATCCGACGGGTCTGTGTCGTAACGCAACTTTCCGGCCAGATTCCGGCTGTGGTGGCCGGAATCTGGCAATGCAGGTGGTGGGGGTGTTTTTGTTATTTTACAAAAATTTTATACATTGGTGTATTTAGTTAAATTTGTAAACTTACGGGGTTTTTTAGAAATTTTTAAATTTATAAAAAACTAAAATTCAAACTTTTAAGGGCATTTTAGTCTTTTCACTATTAATAAACAAAAACCACTAACAGAACATGACGGAAGGTACCTATTTGTCGTTTCAAAACGTTTTGGGTACCAACTTATCGTTACGACAAACCTTGGGTACGAGTAAGTCGTTCTCCCTAACTTTGGGGATTATTGTTCACCAAATGTGAGGGGACGTAGCTGATGATTTCAAATACTTCTAGGACATTGGGNATCTTAACCATCCAACATCCTGCAGAAACCACTCACTAGTAAGATGTCCTAAATGCATATCAAATAGTAAAAGGAATAGTTTACCAGTTTATACCTTCCAACATAAAGAAGCATCCGTGGTCTCATTCGCAAAAGCTTTAAAATTTGAGCTTTGATCCTGGAAAATTCCAAATCTATTAAACCATGTAATTATTTTTGTCTATGACTTCAAACAAAAAGCAGAGATGCAGTTTGATATCCCATAGGAGTGTTGTTTATCAGATAATAACAGAGAGCAAAGCCACAACTCTATGGCATCGGCACAATTAAATGCAGGAAATGAACTTGAAACGTTGAAACAAAGATTATTAAAGAGAAAACATTTCAGCTTACAGAGACGATTTTGGCTGTTAGGAGACCTTCCAAAATGAGAGGATAAGCATACTAACAGTTGTATACTATTTGCATTCCACAGCAAATTGTCTTCCTGTAAATTGAAGCAATCAAATATATAGTGTTTGGAGACAGAATGAATGGAAAAGAGATAATTATTCACTTGTTTTTTGTGTCTGCCTCTCTTCGACTTGGAGTATCTACAGTCAGAACAATAGGCCTTAGGCCTTATATCCATTCCTGTCAGATCTCTGCACTAGCGTACTCTTTATATCTCGCCTCTTATATACCTATTTGATGAAAAGATATCCATCTGCTATCAATTTCCTATCAATGATAGAACAAGAGAAATAAGAGGGGCATTTTACTATTTCAAAAATAACAGAGCTCAATAATGGCCAAGTACATAAAATTGATAGAAGAGAACAGCGTTGCAGCTGGCAGCAACCCCCTCCATGGTCCAGCTAGATGAGTAAGATAAAACCTAGAATTGATCCAGAAAAAGAAAGACGTGTCTCAATGTACAAGGGCCTAATGTAAGCACATCAATTCAGTATGTATTAACAATAAACTATTATGGCTTTAGAAGAAGCAGCTGCTCTGGCTGTTCTGTGATACCTAATCCCTTCCTTTTAGGCGGGAGTGAGAAGAAAGGAGGAAAGAGAAGCCGCAGAAGCTTTGACGTGAGGGCAGGAGCTTCGAGAAGCAAAGCGACAGCAGCAAAGGTTTGACATTGTCATACAACAAAGAGAACCTTTACAGTCACTTCGTGCAAAAGAAGTCAAATTCACAGCCCACTGAAACTCTGCTTGAGGCAGATGAAAAACGTAACAGCAGAAATGACGGAGGTTATTTAACGGACGCAATAACTGAAACATTATATGGCAAAACTAACCGACGTTAATTAAGGGTAGAACAATGAACGTGAACTCATTATAGAACAGACCAATGTTCCAAATATCAGACCGGGCCTTGACCTGTTCAAGGGTCTGGTTTTCGGTTTGACCAGTTGGATCGGTCCGTTAGACCGTATCCTGTAAAATTTTTAGTCCCTAAATGTTTGAAATTCATAAAAAACACCTCTCAATAATTACGCATGACTCCCTTAAGATTTGAAATTTATCCAAAACACCCCTATCATGCGAAGAGACTAATGAGTGTTGGTGGCAGCGAAGATCGACGGCCAATCGAAGTTTGGAATCCTGGGGCTTTTGTTGTATAAGTGCCGACAAATCTTATCGTGGTGTCAGAGAGTTATACCGACGTCGAAATTTTCCAAAATCAAGAAGGAAGGTCGACGGTTGTGTGAATAGGTGGACGGCGATCGACGGCCAATCGAAGTTGGAATCATGAAGCTTTTGATGTAGAGGTGCCGACAAATCTTATAGTGGTGTCAGGGAGTTCTAACAGCGTCAGAATTTGCCGGAATAAAAAAGGAAGCCCAACGGTTGCATGAACGATAGGTAGACGGCGAGCGAAGAAAGGTTGGACAACTGCCACTGAAAATGGATGGGTTTTGTCATGGAGATGACGCCAAGTCCTATGGTGTTGTTATCTCCCTTGAACGATGCTGGAATCTAGTGAGATTGACTCTCGATTGAACCACGATTCGACACTATTCCGACGTTCAAACTATGTTTCAATCCGATTTGATTAATAGTACCGGTTTTCAAGTGAAATTGGACCAGAGATGACGCTAGTTCCCGATCGAACCGGTCCGACCGTACGGTCTGATCTGGTTTTCAAAACACTGGAACAAAACAGACGTTACCTAACGGTTGGAGTAATGGAAGTTAACTGGCAGTATATTTAATGGACAGTTCCTAATGGTGCATTTAATGACCGCTTATCAACGGTTTATTTAACTGCCGTTTAGTAACGGTTTGTGGCTGCCCAGAAACCAAAAAGAACAGGAAAAAAATTGTGTTCGAGATTAAATATAAAATGGTTTTATTTCGCAGAAGAGGGTCTTGATGTTAGCAATTATCCTTTGTAAATGTATTTTCTCATAAACAAGTTCCTGATTATGAGTTTGAACATATCATAGTCTATACAAACATTTGTGCTGGGACGTCAGAGAATTNCCTCTCTTTCTCTATATCTGTGTATTTTGTTTCTTACGAATTTTTTTTGAAACTGTCTCATCCTCTTTCTCTTTCTTTACTCTTCTTTTATTTGAAACAGTAAAGATTTTAAGAATTAAACAATTACAATAAAATTTCTTTAAATCACAACTTAAAAGAAAAGGGAAATTCAATGACAAACTTGAAAAAATCACAGTTTAAAGGAAAATAAGAAAAAGGGTAGACGCCAAACAAAAAAAAAATAAGAAGAAAGAAAAACAAAAAAAATTGCAGTTTAGACAAAAATAACAGTTTAGAAGAAAGGAAAAAAAAAAATTAAAAGAGAATAAGAAAAAGGGCAGACGCCCAAAAAAAAATTGTATTTTTTAGAGCTGGCTCGCGAGCCGGCTCAAAATACCTTATAATCACTTACAAGTCGATCCGAGTCATAGAATATATGGCTCGGCTCGACTTGAACTCGACTCGTTTCTTAATCCTATTTCACGAGCCGAGCTCGTTAAGCCGAAAACTTGGCTCGGCTCGGCTCGTTAACACCCCGAGGTAGAACAATGGACGTGAACTCATCGTAGAACAAACAGGCGTTACCTAACGGTTAGAGTAATGGAAGTTAACTGATGGTATATTTAACGGACAAGTACTAATGGTGCATTTAATGACCGTTTATCAACGGTGTATTAACTGTCGTTCATTAACGGTGTGACATTCTATAATGAAGTATCAAACGAACGTTTACTAGCGGTAAATCTGACAGACGTTTATTAGTATTAAACGAATGTTTATTAACGGTGTATTAAACGACCGTTTGTTAATGGTGTGTCTAACTGACATCTACTAATGGTGTATTTAACGGGTGTTTATTAACGGAATACTTGATGGATGTTATTTGCCGGGTCTAATAAACAGTCATTTATAACGGTGTGATGTTCATTAATAGAGTATCAAACGGACGTTGACTAACGGTAAATCTGAGGGACGTTTATTAAAGGCGTATTAAACAGATGTTTATTAACGATTTATTAAACAACCGTTTATTAACGGTGTATCTAACTGACATCTACTAATGGTGTATTTAACGGGTGTTTATTAACGAAACACTTGACGGAAGTTATTTGCCGGGTCTAATAAACGGTCGTTTATAACGGTGAGATAAATGAAAATCGCTTAAAGGCGTTAGTTAATGACTACCACCATCAAATATCCGCCTTCGGCGATAAATCATGTCGTGTAGAGAATCCAGTTTCAACGCGGTGGCTTTAGTTTCTTTGGCAGTTGGATATCAAGTAAAGGGGGCGACAACATGGGTTTCATCAGTGGTTTGACAATAAGTGAGGCTGCCGGACTGCGGCTTTGGGGTGTGGGATTTGTTTAGTTTAGGACTAGGATCATTGGGCGATTGAGTTTGGAATTCTTGGGTTTGACAAGTTACTGATTATGAGTTTGAACATATCATAGTCTATTCAACATTTGTGCTGGGACGCCAGAGAATTGTGGGATAATGAAGCTGAAAGAGGAAATGGAGACTTCTGGGAAGTTAGAGGGTGTGCAAAAGCCAATGGATATGGAAGATACTATGAAGGATTTGTACTTGGATATGGAAGACACTATGAAGGATTTGTACTTGATTGGAGACCTTTTCGTGCACAAGAAAAGCCACAAATGGTTAGTGCACAAAGCCAAAATTGTTGTTAAAGGAGGTGGTGGCTGTTACTTGGATTAAGGAGCTGGGATTTTATTGCTTCTTTTGTTTCTGTCTTTGATGGTGCATGCAGAAGCTTGAAGCACTAGAGCTGTCGTTACCTTTTTAACTGTGTACTTTAGCAAACTGATCTGGGTTTGTCTGAAATACAATGACTCATGTAACAATTTCTGAGTAACTTCAGTTAGGTTTTCTTTGTTAAGCAATGCTTTTGTGATCTCCATTGTATTCCATATGATGAATATAAACAACTTCAATATAAAGTCCCACTTGACTTTCAAACATCTTTACCAGATTTGATTCTCACTCACAATGAGATGAATCTAAACTGTTGAGTCGGTAGTACAACTAATATGGGAATTATTATACAATAAGAAGGATAAAATTAATTGATCATTACAAATGACCCTCAAGAATCCGAAATTCTGAATGACTGTTGGCAATGCAATCCGTCCATCCATGTACAAGATATTACCCCATGAGAACATAATATTAGAGCATTGAGTGAAGCCTATCACGCTCTGTTCTGACATGGTTTCTGGTGATATGTTTCAAACTAGGACAACCAGAAAGGGCCATGGCAAGTTCAAACTCATCCTTCAGCATTTCGATGACTTGTCTCACCCCATGCTCCCCCTTAGCAGCCAGGCCATAAATTACAGGCCTTCCAACCTGCAGTGATATGTATTACTTACTATATCAAAGTAGTAACAACAGAGTTTTAAGAGAAACAGTTGAAGAATTATAGGCATTTGCATGTTTTCCAGATCTTGGTACCAACTATAGAGTGAGGAGAATTACAAGTACAGCTTTTGCACCGAGGGCCAAGGCCTTGAAAACATCTGTACCTCGCCGCACCCCTCCATCCATAAGAACTGGAATTTTCCCTTCAACAGCATTAACTACCTGCAAATTCAGGGTACCACAAATATCAAACAATATTTGATTATTTTCCTTGCTAATAATAGCATTCAGTAGAAGTTGACAATTATATGATTGCAAGTGCATAACTTTACAAGCTTACAGAAGGCTACATGTCAGAAACCGCTAAATGTGTTTAACATTTGGTTGCATACACCTCAAACATTTTCTATTTTTCAATTTTTTTTTTTTTTTTTTTTTTAAATGTATTAATATCTAAGTTATTGCTATTAACTAATATGGTATCCATGTAATCGTCAGTAGGCTGATTCAGCCCTCAGCTGAAATCAAGTGTAGTATCTGTATTTATCAGTTTAGAGTCCCTTCACAGCCTTGCTAAAGTTTTCACATCCCTTCTAGTTTCATGAGAACTTGAAAATAACTTGAAGTCCTAATGGTAGTGTAAATATAAAACTCACCTCTTCAAGTGCAGAAATCGTAGCAGGAGAATAATCTAGCTGACGAGCTCCATGATTGGAGACAATAATCCCAGCAACACCTGCTTGCACAGCCTTTTTCGCTGCAAATGATAGAATATCAAGTATATATTAAACAAGCCCATTCAAATGCTTGTAAGAGTCGAGACTAATATGTCCCTTAATTATAAAGCATGTAATAAAGCATAATCTTAATGAATTTACTAAAACATAAATGAATAGATAAGAAGATTATCAAATGGAGCTTTGAGCTTACCATCTTCACGAGTGAGTATCCCCTTGATTAAAATTGGCAAGTTTGTTATAGATCTTAACCATCCTATATCCTGCAGAAACCACTGGCTAGTAAGATGTACTAGATGCATATCAAAAGGTACACGAACAGTTTATCGGTTTATACCTCCCAACATAAAGAAGCATCCATGGTCTCATTGGCAAAAGCTTCTAAATTTGAGCCTGCATCCTGGAAAAGTCCAAATCAACTAAATTAATATAATGATTTTGACTACTAAAGGGTAGAAGTGTTGTTTCTCGGATGAGAACAGAGAGCAAAACCAGAAGTCTATGGCATAGTTGAATGCAGGATATGAGCTTAAAATGTTGAGAAAAATGAACATTGCAGAGAATGTTTCGGCTTACAGAGACAACTTTGGCTGTTAAGAGGCCTTCCAAATTTTTCAGGGGTGGTACAATCATTCTGCAAAAGTTTACATATGAGATTCAGAAAATATATTTCACTGTGCCAAAATGAGAGGATAATGGAACTAACATTTATATACTAACTAAAATAGATAACACACTGCAGTACTGTAAATTAAAGTAATCAAAAGAATACTGTTTAGAGACAGAATAAAGAGAAAAGAGATGATTATTCACTTGTTCTTTATGTCTTTCTCCCTTCGACCAAGTCTTGGAGTATCAGCAGTGAGGACAATAGCCTTAAATCCATTCCTTTCAGCTCTATTTACTAGCGTACGCGTTATATCTCGCCTCTTGTATACCTATTAACAGAAAAGATGCCAAACTGCAATTAATTTCTTATCAATGATAACACAAGACACACAAAAAGGTCGTTGGTACAAAAGAAATTTTCATTTTGCTTCAAAGTCAAAAGAGCTCAAAATGGTGAAGTACATATAACTGATAGAAGCGAACAGCATTGCAGCTGGCAGCAACCTCCTCTATAGTGCAGCTAGATGAGTAAGATAAAACCTGGAATGATCCACAAAATTGGAGGGGTCTCAATAGTCAATACACAAGGACCTAAAGTAAGCATATAAGTTCAATATGTATTAACAATATACCATTATGGTGTTACAAGCAGCTGCCGCTCTGGCTGTGGCAACCTCTCCTGAACACATACAAACAGCTGAGTCATATGAATTTGAACTTTACTTAAAAAATAGCTATTTGGAATCAAACCTTCAGGGTGTGCCATTTGATGTATAGCTGTTGGAGCAATGATAATAGGAGCCGAAATATTGTAACTTAGTATTGAAGTTGAAGTATCTATTCTGCTCACATCGACAAGAACCCTAGGCCGAAACCTGGAAAATCAATAAGATAGATTGTTGAAATCTTGTATTCATCTCTTAAATTACTCATTTATTAATTTGAATATTACGTGATCCTACTAAACGCTTCCACATTCTCCTTCAGTGTGTGCTGGTCCTCTGCTCCCCCAGAGTAGAAATCATAATACATTTTTGGAAGGGTTAGCCTGGCTAACTCTTGAAATTCATTCACATTAACAGGTTCAGCAGCCATTTCACCTGGAAACATGGACATTAATCAAGGTTTGAAGTGACTAATTATCATATGCAAGAAGTTCTGCTAAGGATTTCTGTAAACTTAAATCAACTTTTGGATATCATGTGCCTGAGAAATTCACAGGTCCATCATATAAAGAGAACACCATACAAAATAAATTCATGATTGCTATAAAGTTCTACCAAGCAGTTAAAACATGCCCATGTCATCAAAAATCTTACAAATTAACCCTTCTGTCTCCTTTAACATACAAGATCATCAAAATCAAAACATGCCCATTTCATAAAAAATCCATGTTATAGAATTGTGTAGAGAAGTGTACCTGAATGAAAAAAGATTATATCAAATGAAGTTTGCGAAGTAAACGAGTCAACGTGTTGTTTGACAGATACTTACAAAGGCAAATGAAGATCAAGAAGCATATGAAGGAAAACTTGTTTTGTTATTTTCCTGAGTACCCCACAAAAGAGTTTCTTTCTATTGTTATATCTTATCACTTGTGACAAGTTTGTGTCATAAAATTGTCCTGTTGTTGCATGTGCATTTACTTTATAACTATGATGTTGACAAGGCATCAGCCCCACTTTTATCAAACAAGACACCATTTCCAATAAATAAAAATTTTTTACAAATAAGTGAATTTCAATGAAATTGGAAGCGGAAGAAAAATGAATGAAAGTATCTGGTAATTCCTTATCAGGTTTGTTAATTTCCCTTGAAGGGATTTGTTAAAAGTTGTATTTATCCCGAATTACTAAATTGGTGGGATGTTAGGAATATATATATGGTTGGATACCACCTTTTTAAACTAGCTTATTTTATCATGGTATCAAATCATGTCAGTATCTATTAGGAAATTATAAAATCTCTTTCAATTTCATTCAACTTAAATATTATTACTTTTTTCACGTATAATTTCAAATACAGTGTATCAAGAAGAATTTGATTATATATTCACTTGTTAATAGTTTACTTTGAGTTCTCATTCTTTATTTGATGAAACTTAACCTTCACAAAAATTCCAGAAAAATCTTTTGAAAGATGTCTGGAGTCTATCCCATTATCACTTCTCTCAATACCTTTGAATTTATGTATTTCTTTCTTAAACTTACTGTCAAGATTCGCCTTATAAAAAAATGTTAAAATTCAACAGTTACTTTGGCTGCAGGAACAAGGCGTTTGTTGATCTTCATATTTCAGTCATCCATGGTGAACCTTTACTTGTAAAATTTACCAGCTGAGCTTGCTTCATCTGAAATACAATAAATATGTAGCAGCTGTTGAGTGACTACACAACACAAGTTCAATATAAGGGTTCCATTAACTTCAAATTTCATTACAGTTTTAAGGGTATGAAGTGCAACAAGATGGCTGCGCTTCATACCCTGAGGGAGATGGCTACTGACTTCGTGAAGTTAGAGAGGTTTGATGGAGGAAATTTCATTCGATGGCAAAGAAGGATTCATTTTCTTTTGGTTTCTTTGCAAGTTGCTTATGTGTTGAACACTCCAAAACCTAAGGAAACGGAGAATGAAACCATTGCTGAAACAAGGAAGCAGCAGAAATTTGAACATGATGATGAAATCTGCAGGGGACATATGCTGAATGCAATGTCAGATCACTATTTGACATTTATCAAGGAGTGCCTACTGCAAGAGAATTGTGGGAGAAACTAGAGACAAGGTACATGCAAGAGGATACTACAAGTAAAAAATTTCTTGTCTCTCGTTTTAATTCCTATAAAATGGTAGATAATGACCTGTTATGAAACAACTTCATGAAATTGAAAGAAAGCTGAATCATTTCAAAATGCATAAAATGCATATGGATGAAACCATCATTGTCTCTTCAATAATTGATAAATTACCCCCATCATGGAGAGATTTCAGAAGAAGTCTCAAACATAAAATGGATGACATGTTAATTTTTGGAACAGATTGAAATAACAAAACAGTTTCTGTCCAAAAATTTTGCAATGAAAGACATGGGTGAGGCTGATGTCATCTTAGGAATCAAACTTGTAAGAGATAGAGAAAGTATTGCTCTTTCTCAATCTCATTACATTGAAAAGGTTCTTAAAAGGTTCAATCAGTTTGATTGTATTCCAGCCTCTACACTGTTTGATCCTAACATGAAATTTATGACAAATGTTGGAAATCCAGTGTCACAACTGGAGTATGCTAAAGTGATCAAAAGTCTAATGTATGCAATGACTTGCACTAGGCCAGATATAGCCTTTGATGTAGGAAAGCTAAATAGGTACACCAGTAATCCAAGTAATTTACACTGGCATGCTGTTAAAAGAATACCAAGGTACCTAAAGAAAACAATAAACTATGGCATAAACTATGGAGGATATCCTTCTGTTTTGGAAGGTTACTCTGATTACTGACAGAGAGGATCATGCCTCGGCAAGTGGGTGGATTTTTATGCTTGGAGGTGGTGCAATTTCTTGGGTTCAAAGAGACAAACATGCATAACTGACTCCACCATGGCTGCTGAATTTGTAGCACTAGCTTCTACAATCAAAGAAGCAGAATGGATATGAGATTTGTTATTTGACGTACCATTATGGCCAAAACCAATAGCACCAATTTATATACAGTGTGATAGTGAAGCTACTTTGTCAAGAGCTTATAACCATGTATATAATGGAAAGTCAAGACACATTGGACTTAGACATAGTTATGTAAGAGATTTAATCTCAAATGGAGTAATCACAATTAACTATGTCAAATCAAGTCTGAATCTAGCTGATCCTTTAACAAAGGGATTAGCAAGAGACTTGATAAATAAAACATCAAAGGCAATGGGTCTCAAGCCTATTGAATATAATCACCAATAATAAAAACTCAACTTAACGCTTGATACAACAACAAGTCTTGAGTTCAATGAGTCAAAGTACATTATTAGAGTGGTTAAAAGTACTATAAATTTTCTCTAACACCCCAAAGCAAAAAATAGTACTTGGTTCCTGTAGTCTTAAAAGGAAGGTTAAGTATTTACTCTTAATAGACCTATTGATGGTTTTTCATGGAAATGGTAAAATAGCGGGGGCACTTTTGATAGAGTCTACCTATATCAAAGTGAAGTGGTCCCACTTCTAGGAGCTTAAAGACTTGGCTCTAAAATCTCTCACGAATGATACAAACACATGGCCTTTTACTTGTCAACCACGATTAAGATGTTTTGGTATCAAAGTGATATGTGTGAACTATTATACAACTTGTCAAAAAAATGTGTGGTTCAAAGCTTGTCTACCATATTATTCAGATTTGTTGTAATAAACTTCCACCATGTAATGGTTCAAATTGCAAAATACCATTATTTATGCATATTACTTGTAGAATTGTTGTTGGATCTAGTATGTATTATCAAATTAGAACAAATGGCTGGGGATTGTGAGACATTTTTCCTAATTGAATATGTCTATTATTAAAAAGTCATGTATCTTCAAAAGGTTATATACCTCTAAAAGGTCCTGTACCTTCAAAAGATCATATACCTTCAAAAGGTTGTGCCCATATCTCAAAGGGTTTTCCAAAAGGTGCCTTCTCTTTAAAAGGTACAAACAATCTTACATAAGAAGTAAAATTTTCTATAAAAGTACACAACAAATAATTCTAATATAACCAAAACTCTCTTAAGTCTGCTTCTGTTTTGAGCATAACACAAGCAGGTTCTTTATTGTATCCTAAAGAAATTCATTGATCCTATTTGCACTATAAAGGGGCGAAATTTCCTTTAGGAAAGTGGCATTGATACACGCCTTGAAGTTGGTAGTCACTCTCCGGGTTCTAACAGGACTTGGAGTGGAAACTATCAGACTCTGTTCTGACATGCTGGTGATGCCATGGTGAATTCAAACTCATCCTTCAGCATTTCGATGACACGTCACTCTCCGGACTCCCCCTTAGCAGCCAGGCCATGGGTAACTGGCTTTCCAATCTGCAGTTACATGAATCACTTACAGTACCAAAGTAGTAGCATCAAAATTTCAAGAGCAAAGCGGTTCAAGAATCATAAGGATTATTTCTATGATTTAAAATCTTGGCATCATCTGTTATTTTAAGAAGGAAAATTACAAGAACAGCTTTTAAACCGAGAGCCAAGGCCTTGAAAACATCTGTTCCTTGCCCGAACTCCTCCATCCATTAGAACAGGTATTTTCCCTTCAACAGCATGAACTACCTGCAAGCTCATAGTAACACAAGTAGAAACTGTATTGCATTTGTTTCTTTGCTAATATATGGCACTTACTGATATATATGTGATTTATCAAACACAATCATGTGCATCATATTTTTCATGGGACCAAAAGCTATTGAATGGATGTGCTAATGGTAGTATGTGAAGCTAATAGTCACCTCTTCGAAACAGAAATCGTTGCAGAAGTATAGTCTAGCTGTCTGCCTCCATGATTGGAAACAATAATCCCTGCAACACCTACTTGCAGAGACTTTTATAGCTGGAAAATGATAGGATATAAGTTTAAACAAGCTTTTTCAAATGCTTTTAAGGATCAAGACTAATATGGAAAATTAGAAGTGTGTGACAAAGCAGAATCTTAGTGAATTGCTTATCCTGCTCTATCTAGTTCCAATCTCTAATCCAAGCTAGCTATATATCACCAGATAAATGAACTTTTGGCTTGGAGTCTCACATTGTGAAGTTAGAGAAAATACTATAATCAGATAAAGCTTGAAGCTTACCATCTTCAGGAATCAGGAGTGAATACCCCCTTGATCAGAATTGGTAAGCTTGTAATGGATCTTAACCATCTTATATCCTGCAGAAACCACTGACTATTACCAAGAAAATATAAACTGAAGAAGCATACTGAAAAGCAAAAGAAATTCTTGACCAGTTTATGCCTTCCAACATAGAGAAGTATCCATTTTGTCATTGGCAAAAGCTTCTAAACTTGAACCTGTATCCTGCATAAGTGTAAGTCCATTAATTCTATGTAATAATATTAAACAAACAGTAAACAAAAGTGCAGGAGATTAGCTCAAATGTCAAAAACAACAATGAAGGAACAGTCCACTTACAGAGACAAATTTGGTATTCAAGAGATCTTCCCAATTCTCCCGTGGTGATGTAATCATTCTGCAGAACTTCTTAAGGTAATAGAAACTAACATTTGCGTACTGCAAATGAAAGCAATCAAATGTAAGAAGTTTGAGGACAGAATGTATTACTTGTTCTTTATGTCTGCCTCCCTTCGACCATGTCTTGGAGCATCAGCAGTAAGGACAATAGCCTTATATTCATTCCTTTCAGCTCTCTGCACTAGTATACTCATTATATTACGCCTTCTGTATACCTAGTTACAAAAAGGATGCAAAACTGCTATTAATTTTCCTATCAGCAATAGCGCAAAGAGATACAATAAGTGATTGCTACTAAGTTTGTGAAGTAAACCAGTGACAGTGTCGTTTGACAGATACTTATAAAGGCAAATGAAGATCAAGAAGCATATGAAGGAAAACTTAGTTTTGTTTCTTTTATGAGGACCCCGCAAAACACTTTCTTTCTATTGTATTATCTTATCACTGTTGACACTTCTATCAAAGAAGACGCCATTTTTAATAAATAAATTTTTTTAACTTATTTAAGCGTTCTTTTGCTGTTTTGCACCACTAGTAGTGAGATTTTTGCTACTCATTTGATTTTAGAAGATATGTATGTGGAATAAAAGGAAAGTCTTGATCAAGAGAAGCCTAAAGAGATGGTTATCATAGTTTTCCATCTACATAACTTTTTAAGACTATCTTTGAGGACTAATAACCCGTTATGGTATCACATCCAATGGTCTTAAACGTCTTGTGGTCTCAATCAGAAATTATTAATTCTCTTTTATCCTTTCAATTTCATTAAAATTATCTCTCTTCCAAAAAAAAAAAAATTCTTATTTCATAAATGTTATTTCTTTTTTTCGAGTATTATTTTAAATATAGCAAGAAGGTAAATTTGATTATATATTCACTTGCTAATAGTTTACTTTGAGTTCTCATCCTTTATTTGATGAAACTTACCTTCACAAAAACTCTAGAAAACACTTTTGAAAGATGCTTGGAGTCTATCCCACTTGTCAATTCTCTCAATATTTTTGAATTTCTTTCTTTCTTAATAGATTAAATAAGTTAATCCCTTCAAAGGAAATTGTTAGTTTCCATATACACTTTTGTAATACCCTTTACCAGCTGATCTTGGATGATATACTCTCTTCAAATTTGAATTTCTCTACTGGTTTTGGTTCTTTGATGTGGTTGCTCTGTGCCTGCTTCCCAAATTTCAGCCTGTCAGAGTGAAACTTGGGCTCAATTTAACCTAGCCCAAAAAATGCAGAAGCATATAATGCTACAGAACATCCATTAATTTTCCTACAAATTTGTCTTCTTTTTAATAATAATAATAATAAGATTTGAATCTAAAATTCTTTGGTTAATACATAATCCTTCAACTCTCCAACTTTTCATGACTTTGAAAGAATTTTCAGTTGTCAACACAAAAGAAGCAAAAATCTCAATGCACTTTACTGCATTGAACATATCTTCCTAACATTTGATCAAATGACAATAATCAAGTGTAGACTATAGACAATCCACGCATTTACATAAGCATCAAAAGTGCCTTTCAAAATTCTAATAAAAGCAATGCCACCTCTCTTGCCAACTATGATTTGTCTCCTTTTCATGCAAAAATTTGCAGTTGTCTCCAAAATGGCATCTTCCTTGAGCATAATACCTGCACATTTGTTGTTTTCCGCATCCAAGTCTAGGAGGCGGCTCCATTGGATGAAAATGATTGATGCTCTTCAATGGCTGCCTATGATTAGTCCACTCTGATAAGCTATTCATCTGATTTGTATTGGGATATTTATAGGTAGGAGGTTGATGGCTACTCATATCAAAGTTGGGCTGTCTGTAATCAGCCCTCTCTGTATGAAAGATAATGGCATCCATTGGGCATCCAAAGGGATCCAAAGGGTGCTGCATGAAAGATAATGGCTGTCTGTGATCAGTCCTCTCTGTATGAAAGATGATGGCATCCAAAGGGTGCTGCATTTCCACAATGCCACTATACCTAACAGGGTTCTGGGGAAGTTGTTTTTTATTATTGTTCTGCATTATTATCTTGGGTTCTTGAGAATCTGAAGGCAGAATTCTGGACTTGAAAGCCAACTGAGGTTGAGCTGCTACTGATTTCCTCGAATCAACAATTAAGCTGGGTTCTTGAGGCATAATTGCTTGCTGCTGAGTTCTAGTTGCCATTTTATTTGCATCAACAGATAAATCTGACTGGTGAAAAAGAAATTCCCCATTTTCTGTTGCTTTTGAATTCAAGTGAGACTGAATACGGTTTCCATCCTTCTTCATGGACATCCTGAAGTCCAAGCAAGATTAGCAAGAAAATACAGAAACAATAAGATGATTTTCACAGCATGTTTTTACACACCTAAAAACGGTTAAAACCAACTATAGTTCTTTTAATGCGACATTTTATTTTGAAATACCTATTTGCCTTGAGCATTTTCCTCTTTTCCTTCCCCTGGATTCGTGTTTCTCTGTCAGACCTGGCAAGAGAACCTCTTGAGTGTTTTTCCATCAGAACTCTATGCCTCTCACCTTCATCATCCCATCTCTGAATAGACAATTAAAATAAAGCTAGCTTGAGATATAAGGATCGACAGATCATGCAGCTAGCAGAAGTAAAAACATTCAGCTTGTTAAAAACCTGTCTCAGGGTCTTTAGCCGATAAAGGTTTCGACCCTTAATTAGGAGGGGATGAAGTGGAGAGAGTGGCTTCTCCCCTTTGCTCCAGAGGACCTCTACCTGAAAGACAAGACAAAACAAAACCAGCAGCACTTCAACCACCATATTACTTATATGAATAGAAAATGCATCATCTTCTTGTTTATAATTTAAAACCCAAACTGATACAGAAATTCCATACATTGAGTCTCATAATGGTCTATTCCACCCATAACATCTTTGTAAAACACATTTACTTAAACAATAATCTGATGTCTCCTCAACAATTTTCTAAAAGTCACAATTTTATATGGCTTTTAACTTTACCGTAAATGTATGTTGCTGCTTGGCTGCTCCATAGCTTTCTTTAACAATGCGGCCTACAACAATCCTTTTACCACATGGAGGACCACTTGCACTACGCGATGCTATATTGAACCTGATAAATAAATATAGAAATAAGAGAGATAAAATAAGTACTAGGGTGACAAAATTGGTGGACTCGTGCAAATGTGTTGTCAGAGGCCATTTTCATCAAACTTATAATTAGGACTAATGCAACAGTATATCCAGTGTTTGCAGCAAATAAATATAGCCAAACGCTTACATTTCATAAACATTCTGCTCAAACATGACAACATCGCCTGTGCACGCATCACCTGCATTAAATCCATATTTACTTTAGAATAAACATCTGGGAAAAAAGTAAAAGTACAATTAGTAGCTCTTCTAAGTAACCAAAATAGAACACTCCAGCTAGTAAAAGATACAAAAGAACAGTTAACAGCATCATGTATCAAAGGCAAACCATCATAACAGCATCAATTCTGTTCCTAATTATANTGCAAACGAGAAATCCAAGTGCCCAGACAACTGATTGATGGTCTGTGAAAATTACAAATATAAATCAGTAAATGCTTTAATTTCTATTTGTAGGATCTAGATATACATGCACCAGTAGACACCAAGTCATTCTTTTTAATCAGCTTCCAGAAAAATAAATGAAAAAAGGAAGGGAAAAAGATATATGGACAACAGTATAGATAATTACCTTTCCAGTGTTAGAATCCACCAACATACCCTCTGGGTTGTCTCCAACAATTATTAGAAGTTTACCATCAGGACTCAACGAAGTATGCTGCAAAAGCACAAAATAAAAAAAAATAAAAAATTCAATTGAAAGCTTCAGCCTGCAAGTGCTTCATATATTGCCCAGAAAATGAAGCACAAAACCCTCCATGTCAACAAAGGCACCACATACTATACGGACAGATGGACTGTTGAATGTAACTAACTTACATTCACTCGCCAAGGAAAATGGAAATGCTTAGAGAGTTGATACTTTTCCATATCAAAATCTCTGACACCGCAGTCATTATTTGAGGCAGTGAAATGGACTGCACCACTGGCACTGGCAACGAAGACGAAGAAAAAGAGAGAAGATAGAAAATGAAGACGAAGATGTTTTGCAACAAAAGAATGGGGTTTTGTTTAATTTTTTTTTTATTTTTTATTAAAAGTACATTTGGAGAATGGACGCCCATCCAAACGTTAGGGACAGCCGTCCAATCCCCAAAGTTTTTTTTTTTTTTTTTTTTCATATTTGAGTCAAGGACGGGCGTCCAAACTTAATGGACGCCCGTCCATAATTTATGGACGGGCTTCCAAATTTTTTATTTTATTTTTTAAAACAAATTAAGTTTGGATGGGCATCCCGTATTTGCAGACGCCCGTCCAAAATTAACAAATAGCCGTCCACAACCTATGAACGGTCGTCCATAATGTTTTGCAAATTTTTTTATTGTATTTTATTTATGGACGGGCGTCCTTTAAATGGGGACGCCCGTCCCTTGTATATGGACGGGCATCCATGTGAATGAACGGTCGTCTAAATTTGATGGACGGCCGTTCACTAGAAAAAAATTGTAAAAAAAATCAGACGCGCGTTACACGTAGGCCGGTACAGAATTTTGGTGTAACTTTTTCGGTGTCCGTAGTGTTAGGGAAATCTCTCTAGTTTCTAGCCAGGTGTGATTCGGTGCGATTTCGACCACCTGCTTTTTTCGAGAGAACGACTTTTTCTCCCCCAAGGTTAGGCGAAACGACACTTTCCCACCCACTAAGTTCAAAACGACATTTTCCCACCCTCCGTCAGGTTCTGTTAGTGTTTTCCGTTTTGAAGAAGGGTAATATGGTTAATTTATATCAAGCCACAAAAATGAAAAATAAAAAATTGAAATATAAGTTTTAGCTGTTGACTGGTTGCCACATGGCAGGGAGGTTGACTTTGAAAAAACAAATAACACCAAAAAGTTGATTGTATTCTATTGTAACTGTATCTCTCTCTCTCTCTCCTCTCTGAAACTAAAACGCCCAGACTTCTATTGCAACTCTCTCTCTCTGCTCTCTGGAACTGAAACGACTGACCCAAAGTTCTCTTGTAACTCTCTTTGCTCTGTAAAACTGAAGCGTCTTCTCCCTCTCTTCTATTGTATCCCTTTCTTTTACTCATGGTACGTATTGGCTTCTTTTCCAAACTCAGTTGCCTTCTATTTTGGTGTCTTCTTGGACTGAGATAGAGTGATCATGGTTGTGGTTTGAATGCACAACAATTCTATGGACTAACAAAAAGCTGATTTTGTGTTCTTCCTGTTCTTGAAACTNGTGACGGTGTAGTCAACTGCATGGTAGCCTTGCATAGTTGCTAGTGTAGTTAATATTAAAGATAGGAAAAAGATGTGGTGAGCCATGGGTAAGGTTCGCTGTTATAGTAGTTATCTGTGGTTGTATTTTTGTGTCATGTTGCTCAATGGTTTATATAGAGTTTGGAAATCAATAGGAGGGGAAAAAAAAAAAAAGAAAAATATTTTAATTGGTCCTTGATTAAAATTATGTGTTATTATATTTATGATACTTACATGTTTTATAAAATAGTTTGAAAAGGACAGATTAACGTTTATTAATTGTTAGAAGAAGGGAAAAAAATGATATTTGACTTTGACTTTGACTGGCCTGCTTTGAACACATCCCAATTAATTACCCACCGCCAAATGGATTCAGATCAAATCCCTTATTCAAACCAGTCCTTTCCGGAATTTCCGCGTAATTCAGGAATACTTTTCTCAAGAGGGAGAAAAGTATGGGTGCGTTTGGATAATCAATTTGGGAGTGTGTTTCCTACAAAAACCCTCTCCTTCACTATTTCAAATTGAACTGTTATACTTTTCTCCGTGTTGAGAAAAGTATTCATGAATTACGCGGAAATTCGGGAAAGGAATAGTTTGAATAAAGGATTTGATCTGAATCCATTTGGCGGTGGGCAAGTAACTGGGATGTGTTCAAAGCAGGCCAAGTCACTATTTCAAATTGAACTATTAGGGTGCATTTGGTTTATTATTTTGGATATGATTTTTGAGATAGTATTGAATAGTTGAATAGGATAATTATTACGAGGTAAAATTAAAAAATTTATAAAAAAACCCTCTAGGTTTGCTAATTTAACTAAACACCCCAATATATAAAAATTTTGTAAAATGATAAAAACACCCCCATCCATCCATAGTGTTAGATTCCGGCCACCACCGTTAGAATCTGGTTAGAATCTGGCGTTACGATACAGATCGGTCAGATCTGGCCAGACGTGCGTCGATCTGGCATTTTTCGACCAGATCCATGCCAAATCTAGCCGTCAGCAGCCACAAAAGGCCAGATCTGGTCATCAATGATGGCCGAAGATATGGACGTCACTGATGGCCAGATCTGGCCTTTTCCAGCTAGATCCACTATGGATCTGGCCAGAAAATGTCAGATCGACGAATTACCTACCAGTTCTGGTTGTTTGTAGGTCGTTGTGACAGATTCCGGCTACCACCGATGGTGGTTGCCAAAATCTGGCAACTATGGGTAAATGGGGATGTTTTTGTTAATTTTTAAACTTTTTTTCTGGGGATGTTTTTTTCTGTTTGGAGACAGAAGAAAGAGCTATTTGGAATCAAACCTTCAGGGTGTGCCATTTGATGCCTAGCTGTTGGAGCAATGATAATGGGAGCCGAAATATTGTAACTTAGTATTGAAGTTGAAGTATCTGTTAAGAAATTATAAAATTTCTTTTATCCTTTCAATTTCATTGAAATTATCTCTCTTCAAAAAGAATTTCTTATTTCATAAACATTATTACTTTTTTTCATGTATTATTTTGAATATATAAAGAAGGTTAATTTTTTATTATATATATTCACTTGCTAATAATTTACTTTGGGTTCTCATCCTTTATTTGATGAAACTTGCCTTCACAAAAACTCCTGAAAAAACTTCCGAAAGATGTTTAGAGGCTATCCCAATATCATTTCTCTCAAATATTTTTGAATTTCTTTCTTTCTTTCTTAATAGATTAAATAACTTAATCCCTTCAAAGGAAATTGTTAGTTTCCAAATACACTTTTGTAATCCCTTTACCAGCTCACTTGGCTGATATATAATATATTCAATATCATACTGATAGGAAATACACTCCCAAATTGATTATCAAACTGATAGGAAACCCACTCCCACATGCCAACATCTTTTCCTTCTCAATGTATTATCCTAACATTCTCCCACGCTTCAAGAGCCAACATCTACATTGGCCCACTCTAAACGGCTTCACTTTGGGTGGCCTACTCTCCCAAGACGCCCTTTCCCGAGTCGCCCCACTCTAGACAGCTTCACTCTGGGGTCACCCTTTTCTAGGTAGCCCTTTTCCAAATAGCCCCTTCCGGAACACGGGCTAAGGATAGGTTTGGCTCTTATACCATTTGATAGAAACTCACTCTCAAAATTGATAGGAATTGTGCTGGATAGTAGACCTTGATAGAAATTGAGTTAGACAGTGATCCTTTTGTGGACTTGGATAAAACTCTCTTTAAAAAATTGGCTTGCCGAGAGAGAGTGTCCAAGCCCTTATAAATCACATGCCAATACCTTTTCCCTCTCAATGTGATATCATAACACAAACAATGCTGCAACTTGGGCTCAATTTAACCTAGCCAAAAAAAATGCAAATAGCATATAATGATACAAAACATCCATTAATTTTCCTACAAATTTGTCTTCTTTTTAATAATACTATTAATAAGATTTGAATCTAAAAGTCTTTGGTTCACACATAATCCTTCAATTCTCCAACTTTGAAAGAATTTTCAGCTGTCACACAAAAGAAGCAAAAATATCAATGCACTATAGTGCACTGAACCTATCTTTGTAATATTTGATCAAATGAAAATAATCAAATGTAGACAATCAACACATTCACATAAGCATCAAAAGTGCCTTTCAAAATTCTAATAAAAGCAATGCCACCTCTCTTGCCAACTTTGATTTATCTCCATTTCATGCAAAAACTTGCAGTTGTCTCCAAAATTGCATCTTCCTTGAGCATAATACCTGCACATTTGTTGTTTTCCGCAGCCAAGTCTAGCAGGCAGCTCCATTGGACGAAAATGATTGATGCTCTTCAATGGCTGCCTATGATTAGTCCTCTCTGATAAGCTATTCATCTGATTTGTATTGGGATATTTATAGGTAGGAGGTTGATGGCTACTCATATCAAAGTTGGGCTGTCTGTGATCAGTCCTCTCTTTGTGAAAGATAATGGCATCCAAAGGGCATCCAAAGGAATCCA